ATTTATTTTTATCTCCCGAGACTGGGACTCAAGGCGGCTTACAGATAAAACTACAAAAACACAGATAAACATTTACCATTGTTCCTTGGAATTACAACATTGATTATAGTTATAAGCTATGATCTAGAAAACCACAGAAAATTAAAACCGAAACCAAAAAACCTAACTCATACTAGAGAAACCCCAGAAGCAGATTATTCTGAGGAAATGTATAGAGAAGTAGCACTTCCAACTTACCAGCCATCTTTTCCAGGCTCTCTGAATAACCGTTGCTGCTCTACTTTTTTTTTCATGTTCCTCACTGAGGTACAATTCTACGACAGCATCCGTTTTAGATGTTGAATGTCTTGAATGTTTCCTTCAAATAATACATTTTAAGATATATCATTCAAACAATTAGCAATTCAATAGTATTGCATTTTATTTAACTTCCCTCATTAAAAAAATTATACAAGATAATTTTGTCTATAACCAGAACTGGACTTACTATTTTACATTTCATAATTTAGGTGAGATATTGACAAACAAAACGATTACACAAGATTTATATATAGTTTCTGCAGAAAACATAGAAAAAAATAAAAGCAAAAGTAGAATGCCCCCTGCAAGGAGGGAAACCAGGAGGTAATAAATGCTGGTGGCTTTGATAAAGAAAAGCATTTTTTACAATGGTTTCAATAATAGATAGTAACATAATCTAAACTCTTTGAACTTACAAGTTTATTCTTTTACAATCCACAATGATAACATCATACACTCAGCTTAAAAATGGCTTGCTTCCACTATATCATGCAGAAGTGATGCACTGGAACTTAAAGGCTTTCATACATTCTCTGGGTATTTCATTCTCTGGGTATTTACTCAGGAGTAATTTCCAGTAAATTCAATGGGGCTCACACACTTACCGAGGAGTAAGACCCACAGAATACAACAGAGCTTACCTCTGAGTAAAAATGCATAGAATCAGGCTGTTTGTTATTTTTTAGGTACAGGCAGCTTCCCACCTGCGCTCCAGACACACGTCCAGCCCATCCCATTACACCCCTGCCCCTTTCCACCCTCTTCTGGGTCTGAAAATGACATGTGCGTTGGTGGTTGCATGCCAATTGAAAGTGCGCAAAATGGCTGCTACTTGTATATACTTGTATCTTTCAATTTACAGACTTACCCACGCTTTTGTTGGCTTCTGGAGGGTTTAATTTCCATTGCAGAAAAATTTTTGGACCTGGATTATCCTATACAAAGAACCAATGGACCAGAACAAGGATTTATCGTTCATTTTCCTGACTTTATGAAAACTAATTATGTGCACTAAATGAAGAACGGCATCAGGAAAATAGTGGTTGCCTTCTATACAGTACCAATTTTCACTCACACATATAAGTACATTGTTGGAAAAGCAAAATGGAACTTTTCAAAAAGATGGACAGAAACAGTATTGCACAAACCCCTCTCTCTATCTAATAGGATCCTTGGTGTTTCTTCACAGATTTAAGAGTAGGGCTGGCCCAAGACACTTAGGCACCTGAGGTGAACCACAAAATGGAGCCAGGGCAGAAAGGGCGAGTGAAGATCTACACCAGGAACAAGGGTGAAATAAGGATCTACATCGGGAACTAGGGTAGGGTGGGGAATCAAATCAACCTTACTCGATGGTTGAAGTGGGTATCAAAAGCAGTTGTGGCGGGGAGAAAGGGGCCCCTTTTGAACCAGGCAGGTGCAGCACCCAGGAGAAAACAGAGGGGAGCCCTCACCATTTCCTGCCTAGGGCTGGGAGGAGACCAGCTGTGCCTCAAGCCACCAGCGGCAGAGTCCATTGCATTCCTTGGAGGACGGATCTGCTGCCCCAATACTGTACATCCTGCCACCTGAGGCAGTCACCTCACCTTGGTCACAGGTGGGCCGGCCTTGAATAAGAACGCTTCAGACAATGTAGTTTACAAACTGCTGCCCTAATTTACAAAGTAAACAAAATTGGATTTGAATAAAAAATAACGAGCCTATTTGTTATTGTTATGTTGTTGTTGTTGTTTAGTCCTGTCCGACTCTTCGTGACCCCATGGACCAGAGCACGCCAGGCACTTCTGTCCTCCACTGCCTCCCGCAGTTTGATCAAACTCATGCTGGTAGCTTCAAGAACACCATCCAACCATCTCATCCTCTGTCGTCCCCTTCTCCTTGTGCCCTCCATCTTTCCCAACATCAGGGTCTTTTCCAGGGAGTCTTCTCTTCTCATGAGGTGGCCAAAGTATTGGAGCCTCAGCTTCAGGATCTGCCCTTCCAGTGAGCACTCAGGGCTGATTTCCTTAAGAATGGATACGTTTGATCTTCTTGCAGTCCATGGGACTCTCAAGAGTCTCCTCCAGCACCATAATTCAAAAGCATCAATTCTTTGGCGATCAGCCTTCTTTATGGTCCAGCTCTCACTTCCATACATCACTACTGGGAAAACCATAGCTTTTACTATACGGACCTTTGTTGGCAAGGTGATGTCTCTACTTTTTAAGATACTGTCTAGGTTTGTCATTGCTTTTCTCCCAAGAAGCAGGCGTCTTTTAATTTCGTGACTGCTGTCACCATCTGCAGTGATCATGGAGCCCAAGAAAGTAAAATCTCTTACTGCCTCCATTTCTTCCCCTTCTATTTGCCAGGAGGTGATGGGACCAGTGGCCATGATCTTCGTTTTTGATGTTGAGCTTCAGACCATATTTTGTGCTCTCCTCTTTCACCCTCAATAAAAGGTTCTTTAATTCCTCCTCACTTTCTGCCATCAAGGTTGTGTCATCTGCATATCGGAGGTTGTTGATATTTCTTCCGGCAATCTTAATTCCGGCTTGGGATTCATCCAGCCCAGCCTTTCGCATGATGCATTCTGCATATAAGTTAAATAAGCAGG